GCACAGAGCAGGACCACCCGTCAGATGGACAGCTGCAGAGCACCCTTGAGAGGCGCCCCGAAGCCCAGAGTCTGAATTCCTGGGTTTGCTGCCTGATCTCAAGATTTGCCAGACACGCGGTCTTTGGCAAGTCATTTCACCGCTGGGGGCCTTGGGTTTCCTGGGCGTAAGATGGGTCATCTGTGGATTAAAGACAGAACATGGGGAGATGCTTTTTGAAGGGCTGTGTCAATGTCCCCTGTGAGCAAAGTGAGGAAATGCTTGGACAGCATGCCCTTCTCTGGGTCAAGAGCCAAAGACACAGGCTTGGGGATGGGTGATGAGGTCGAATATTCTGGGAGGAGATGACAAAGTGGCTTTGGTTTGGAGGGGGCGAGGCTCTAGACTGAGAAACAAACCCTGCCCTGCGGGAAACTAGGTGTCCCAGATGCCACGACTGTCCCTCCCCCGATTTGTCTACTTCCTTCCCCACTCTGTCCTGTCCCAACCAGACTGTCAAAGTCCAGTCACTTAACTCTGGAAGATGCTGACGGCCAGCACTGCGCTGGGCTCAGTGCACCAAGCTCTCACGTGCTTTGTCTCTGCGACAGGACCTGGAGCTTCCTCCACCTTCTGCTGGGCCAGCGCCCAGAACCCAGACAAGGCTGCTTGCATCTTCTCCCCGCTCGGGTCCTGGCCTTTCCCATAACTGCAGTTTTCAGGACCATTCACACCGCGGGGGAAAGTCCCTGGCTGCCTCCTGATGGAGTCAGGACTTGGAGACTGTTTCCTCTTGGCCCCTCATCCTGCTCTCGCTGACTCCCTCGCAAGCCAGGCTTTTCTTCTCTTCCTGCCTGTTAAACCAGCCCCACCTCCACCGCACCGTAACCCTGAGGAGTGTGTCCGGACACGTCTGGCTGCCCAAAACCCAGTCCGATCTGGATTAAGCAAGAAAGTAGCCCATGGTGCTTGGACGGGATCTGGCTTTAGACCCAGCGAGCCATAGAGACTTCAGCAGTAGAAGTAGAAGTGAGACACCGACCCTGTGTGCGTCTTTCAGCTCTGCCTCGTTGTCTTTTATGTCCTGCCCTCTGGGCACCCCCAGAGAAAACGCGACTTCCTCTCCTCTCTTCCAGCTGCGTCTCAGCACCCAGCCTGGCCCAGGTCAGCCGCCTGCCCTTGAGGCAATTCCAGCAGCAGAGGAATGGACCGATTAGAGGCCGGGGCGGGGTCTGGGGTCAGTTTCACGGAGACGGGGGCAGGGGGAGCGGGAGGGGGAGGAAGGAAGGCACCGCAACCGATGCCCGTCACGAGTCCTCATGTCGGAACTATCAGGCTTGGGGCAGAGAAAGCGGGGCGCAGGGAAAATGGATGAGCAACGGGCCGGCCACCCACTGGTGACTTTGGGGCGGACCGTGCTGTTCGAATGGCCAACGGCAGGCTCTTGAGGCATGAGAGCTGGAATGTGGGCTGTGAAGTCCTGCCTGGTCTGTTGATACAGGCCTTAGCGTCTATATTCGGGGACCTTGCTCCTTCAGTCTTGGACTCTGGCTTCCATGGGTCACGGTCGTAGAATAGCCACTCTCGTCTCCCCTCCCCCCTCCTGCCTGCAATGATGCGATGAGGCCTCACCACCCTTTTCCAGAGCCTCAGAGACCCTGGTCTTTTCTAGAAGCCACAAAAGCCTGAGGCTTCCCTGCCTAGTCGCCTCAGAGCAGAATAGCAGCTCGCTTCCCCCCTGCCTCGGCCATCTCTAGGGCTCTCCCCTCTCTGAAGCCCTCCCTGGAAGCCGCAGGTTTGAACACTGCAGGGAGGAGGGTCACGCCGAAAGGATCTCTCTCTCTCTCTCTGTTTCACACACACACACACACACACACCATGAAATGGGAGAAAGCACGCCTTTATTTCAGCCGCCACTCTCCTGGGACCCACCACCACGGCGCAGGACCTGGCGTCCACGGCACACGGCCCAGAGATCCCAGTGAACACAGTCCCACAACGCGGCGCCACGGAGCTCCCAAAAGGGGTGCCTGGGGTCCACTGCAGGTGGGGATGGGGAGCAGGGCCCAGATCCTGAGGAGCGGCAGAGAAGAAGCGCCGACTGAGCCCCGGGACGTGACACGGGGTCCCGAGAGTCCCCGCTGTGGCATGGAAGCAGCAGCCGCCGCGGGAGGGCTCTGCCATGGCCACCAAGGTCCCAGCTACGGAGCCATCGCAACGGCGTGGACGGCCCCAGGTGGGGGCTCCGGGCTCAGGCCAGAGGGCAGAGGTAGTGTAAACACGTCTGAAGATAGGAAGGGCCCGATGGCCAGGCCAGGTGCTCTCTGGGGCTGGGAGGGGCCTGGGGCCAGGAACCACGGGAGTGAGCAGGTGAAGAGGGCGAGTCAGAGAGTACCAGGGCCCTGGGACGCCGAGCCGGCCCAGGGAGGAAGGTTGCACAGAAATGGGGGAGCTGCAGGGGCGCCTGGGTGGCTTAGTCAGTTAAGCGTCCGACTTTCGCTTAGGTCATGATCCCGCGGTTCGTGGGTTCGAGCCCCGCGTCGGGCTCTGTGCTGACTGCCGGCTCAGAGCCTGGAGCCTGTTTCGGAGTCTGTGTCTCCCTCTCTCTCTGACCCTCCCCTGCTCACGCTCTCTCTCTCTCTCTCTCTCTCCTAGAAATAAATAAAACATTAAAAAAAAAAAAGAAGAAGAAATGGGGGAGCTGCAGGGACAGGTAGGGAAAAACTGCGGGCAGAGAGTGAGACAGAGCAGATCGGGGGAGGCCGAGGGAGAGGGAGTGACAGGAGCGGAGAGGTAGCGAGGAGACTGCGTCTCCACCTTCTCCCACCAGCCCCGTGAGCCCTGGGGTGGGCCTCGGCTCTCCCACCTCCACCAGGCCTCTCCCCTGCTGCGACTGGGGTCTTGAGACCGAGTAGAATTGAGGGCGGGAAGGGACCCGCCCAGCCCTTCTTCCTCCACCTCTACCCCAAACTGGGTTTGGGCCCCGGCTCGCCTGCCCACACTAATCTTACACCCCATCCCAGGTCAGTGCTGCCCTGAGGCTTCCCTGAATCACAGGCCTAGCCTCTCACAGATGGGATGGAAGGAGAGAGAAAGGGCCAGAGTGGGGGATGGGGAGGGGCTTAGCAGGGAATGGGGGGGCTGCCTGGGAAGAGGCTGGGGAGTGTGGGGGGGACGACAGCGTGGCTGTCCGCCCTCCATCCCTGGGACCGAAGTGCGGAGAAAATCTGAAGAGAGGTGTGTAAGAATGTACAGAATTTCAAAAAATAGCGCTGTGCACGTGCGCACATCAGGGTTTTTAAAAATCTTTAGCTCATCGTCTCCAAACTCGGTTAAAAATGTTTTATAGGGGCGCCTGGGTGGCTTAGTCAGTTAAGCGTCCGACTTTCGCTTAGGTCATGATCCCGCGGTTCGTGGGTTCGAGCCCCACGTCGGGCTCTGTGCTGACTGCCGGCTCAGAGCCTGGAGCCTGTTTCGGAGTCTGTGTCTCCCTCTCTCTCTGACCCTCCCCTGCTCACGCTCTCTCTCTCTCTCTCTCTCTCCTAGAAATAAATAAAAATATTTAAATAAAAAAAAGTTTTATAAATTGGACTCCATGGCTTACTGTACAGCACCACCTCAAGTAACCGGAACTTACAAGTGCTGGGAGTTAGATCCCTTACACATGCTCCCCACCGTTAGGAAGGATGGAGAGGGGGCCAAGCTTGTGGATTTCACAGTCAGGAAAAACACCTCCCGGGGTCCTGGGTTAACTGTCTGCGGGTGCCAGCCAGCGCCACAAGGGGCATCTGGGAAATCCTGGGTCTTGGAGGCGTCGGGACGGTTAGAACTAAAGCGTGAAGCCCCGGACAAAGTGGACCGTGGCACCCCCCCTCCAGCAGAAAAGTCGCCGTTGGAACTCTTGATTTCAGAGGGGAAGCCCGTTTTTTAAAAAATGTGCATCTGTCGATTTCTCAACGTTCGCTCAATGCAAGACTAGAGCTTCCCTGGAGATCAAGAAACCGAGTCTCGGCTAGTTTCTAGCCAGGGTTTTATGAAATCTCAGAGATTTTAGGTTCACTTAGTGACATGATCCGTGAAAGTCCATTCACGTGCACGGAAACACCCTGAGGGAACTTGTTAAAAATGCAGATTCTGATTCGATAGGTCCGGGCCGAAAGTCTGCGTTTCTAACGAGCTCGCAGGCGAGGTCGCTGCCACTGGCCGGCCAGCCTCGCTCTGCGTTGTGTTTAGTCCGTCCTTCCTCTTGGAAATTCTCTCGGGCCGCTGTTTTCCTGGCCACGGCCGCTTGCTGGCCCGGTAGGGACCGGACGCTCACTACCTAGGGACACGCTGGGCGGCCGCCGCAGCTGCTAACCAGGCTCTGCAGCGACGCTGAAGGACACCCCAGCTCAGCCGTGCCAGGCCCCGGGCTCCGGACCGGCACTGTTGCACAAAAGAAACTTCAGCTGGACTGGCGGGGGGGGCGGGGAGAGGGGTGGTTCTTGATGTTTGTTGGAAAGATCTGAGCAGAGAGGAGTCTCGAACTGTGTGCTCGGAAGCGCCCGGTTCAACAGAGCATCCCACCATTCCTGGCTGCTCTGATGAGTAAGGTTTGTACCTCCTTCCTCCCCAAAGCCGTGCAGCCAGCGTCTCTCTGCACTCGGGGGCACGACACGGTGATGCCCACAGGAAGGGCCAGTTTCTGACGGGTGCGGTGCAGGGGGGGGGTAAGGGGGAGAAGGGAAGGGCTCTCGAGGTTACTCCTCAGGCCACGTGAACAACCCCTGCGCTGCACAGACAATGGGAGGCCCTAAGCCCAGACCCTCCTTCCTGGGGCCCTGGGAGGCCCTGCAAAGTGGAGAATCCCCACCCCCACCTCTCCCGACAGGCTCAGAGTCACCAGGGCCAGCACCCCATAGGCCCAGGCCAACCATTCGGACGCCCAGGAGTGCGGAAGCCACCGAGGCCACTCCCGATTTCACCACGAGGGAAATCCAAGCCCAGAGAGCGCACGAGGCTTTCCCAAGGTCACACAGCAGGTTTGCAACCAGCTCCCCGTCGAGGCCCGGAATCCTTGGAGGCAGAGCTGGGTAGAAGCCACTGGTATTGGCCAGACGTTTGGTTCACCCATAGCAGCACCTTTCAGGAAAAGGACCTTCCAGAAAACTCCTGAGAGAAAGAGGGGTGTCTCTGAGGGAAATCCTAGACAGGGGTAGTGGGGGTTCACCTTGGAAGGGGAGGGTCATGGATCAAACTTCTTCAAGGAAGGTAAAGGGCCAGGCTTCGGCCCTGACAGAATTCTAGAGAGAGCACTCATCGTGTTCTCTGGTGAATGGTGCTCCCAAAGGTTCTGTCTTGTGCAGTGCACAGCCTGCGGGGCCTGACACGGAGTCCCGGTTAATGCGGTGCGGTGGGGGGAGGGGGTTGTCAGAGGAGAGGTCTCAGAAGACCATGTTTACAGGGGTTCTCGGGTGTGGATTCCCGGGCCATTCCGGACCTGGCGAGCCAGAATTCCTGCGGCAGGGGCCTCCCTCTCAGGGAAACCCCCCTGGGTTTAGGAACGAGCCTGGGCTCGCTCCACCTGGCTGGGTGGGCAGTCCAGCAGGCAGGGTCGGGCCTGGCCCAAGGGGGGGGACGCGCGCCTGGGACATGGGCCCGGGCTCGGCAGCGAGGGTGCATCACCTCTTCCCGCCGCGCCTCACTTCCCGGAGAACTGGCCCGGCCTCGCCTTCTCCAGCTTCAGGCGCCGTTCCAGCGGGATCTCTTGCAGGCTGAGGCCGTGATTGCTGGCCCTGCGGGGACGCAGACGGGGGGCGGGGGGCGGCTTCAGGGAGGGCGGGGAGGGGGCGGGCGGGGTCAGGCGGGGACGCGCACCCGGAGGCTGGCTCCTCACCCCGGCTGCAGATCGGGCGGTTTGGGGATGGGCTTGTTGAAGCCGCGTCTGCCCACCAGCCAGTACGTGTCTTCGGAGCCCCTGCCCTGGAGAGATACGGGGGGCAGCGCTCAGGAGGCTGGGTGAGGGCGGGTGGGTCTCGAGGGCGAGGTGGCGCCCACGACCCCCGGGTTGCCGCCCCGGAGGGGGCGGGGCCGAGTCTCACCTTCAGCTCCGTGCGGCCTCGCACCTCCATCAGGAAGCCCTCGTCCAGGGCGCGGAGAATCTGCACTGTGCTGATGTTCACGTGGATGCGGTAGGCTGGCGCGACAGGGGACGTGGGGATTTCGGGACACCCCCCCCCCCCGCGTCCCCCTCCCTGAGCCGTTTCCCCCTTGCTTCATGAGTCGCCCCTCAGCCCAGGAGCCCCCGCCCCACTCACGCAGCCCGGTGGACTCCATGCGCGAGGCGGTGTTGACCGTGTCCCCAAACAGGCAGTACCGCGGCATGGTGAGCCCCACCACGCCCGCCACGCACGGGCCTGCGGAGACGCACAGGGTGGGTGGCCCGGGTCTGGGCTGCAGCTGGCCGTGCTGGAGGCCGGGTGGCACCTACCACCTCGGGGGTCTCCCTAGCACCCCATCATCTCCAGCACCTCCCCAAGGGTACCTCTCAGTTACAATGGGGGCGGGGGGGAGGAGTCTGGTATGCCAAGGTGGCTTCGCGCCAAGTCGCCTCCCCGCCCACACCCCTACTGAACGAGTTTGCCTCCTGCCCTGGGAGTGTGGGCCCTGGCCCTAGACGGGGAGAGGGGCGCCGGAGCCCGGAGTTACCCGAGTGCAGGCCGATACGGATGCGCACCGGCACCTCGGGCATGTGGCGCATTCGGAAGGAGCCCACGGCGCTGAGGATGTCCAGGGCCATGTTGGCGATCTCCGCCGCGTGCCGCTGCCCGTTCCGCTGGGGCAGCCCGGAGGCCACCATATAGGCATCCCCGATGGTCTCCACCTGAGGGGAAAGGTGGTGCAAATTCAGTACTGAGCGCCCCCTCCCCACCCCCGCCCCCAAAGCCATTGCCCTTTGTCAGGGGGCCTAAACTGGGTGTCCTGCAGCGGTCCTGGGGAGGCTTCCAATGGGGGGGGGGCTGAACTGGCAGAAGGAGTAAGGGACAGAAAGGCTGGGAAAGAGGACCCTGCACTGGCCTGGGGGCTGGCAGAGCTGAAGGAAGGCTTGCCCCCCCCAACCTTGTAGACATCATGGGAGCCGATGATGGCGTCAAAGAGTGTGTAGAGGTCATTGAGCAGGTCTACCACTTCGATGGGCTCACTCATGGCGGAGATGGTGGTGAAGCCCACGATGTCGCTGAAGTACAGAGTCACCTCCTCAAAATACTCGGGCTCCACAGGTGTCCCCGTCTTCAGAGCCTCGGCCACAGAACTAGGGATGTCGGGGAGGGAGGGGGACCGCGTTAGGTGGAGGTCTCGCCTCCCACCATTCCAGCTGCCCTCCCCACGCACCCCTTCCCGTCGGAGCTCACGGGGGCAGCATCTGGGTGAGCAGCCGGTCTGTCTTCTGCTTCTCCAGCTCCAGCTCCTCCGTGCGCTCCCGGATCAGGTCCTCCAGGTTACTCGAGTACTGCTCCAGCATCCTCAGCATAGAGTCGATGATGTTCGTTTTCCGGCCCTTGTTGATGCTTTTGAACTGGTAGGGAGAGGAAGTGGGTGGGGCTGCTGAGGACCTGGGCCTCCGCCACCTTTGTGTGGGGCTCTCTTACACCTGATCTCCCCCCCACCCCGCCGTGCATCCCCATTCATGACTGATGCATCAGCCACCCTCTACCCGCGGATGCCAGGCTCTGCTTTCACATATTATGAGAAGCCAGATGGGAAAGGGGGGGCCCTGGAGGTCAGCTGCTCTGGGCTAATAATTGACGAGACACTGGTAATTGACGAGACACTGGAGTTTCGACTCCCAGACCTGAGGGTCTTTTGGGCCACACCTTGCCGAGCAATTCAAAGCAATTCAAATGAACTATTTCTCCCACCCAGAGCTCTGTCTCCTGCCCCAAAGGCCTCCGCAGCCCGTTCTAGCTCTGCCCCCACCTAAATCCCAGTCCTCAGACTGCCCCTTGGGAAACAGCCTGGAGGTCAGACAGCCTGCTAAGGCCGCCTTCCTGAAGCCCCTCCCCGATGCGGACAAGCGGGCGCCCAGCCCCGGCCGGTCCCAGCCGCTGACCTGCTCAAAGGTGCGGTCCATGGTCGGCCGAAGGTCCGGCTGCTCGGCCCAGCACTGTCTCATCAGCTGGATACACTCCATGGGCGCCTGGTCCACGGACACGCAGGGCCGGCACAGCGGAGGGGGGCTCCGCACCCTCTGCACCACTTCTGGGGACATAAGGGGACCGAGAGAGGCCACCTCTGACTCTCGCCTGTTGAAGCCCCGAGGTGGGGGGGGGGGTGGCGGGCGCTGGATGGGGGATCTTTAAATCAGAGCTTCGGGAAGGAGGTGGGGACTGGCCTGGAGGGAGGGGGGGGGGGGGGGGGGGGGGGGGGCGGGGGGCTGTAAGAGGTGACAGGCAGAGCTAACGTTTGTTGCAGGTAAGAGCGAGGGCTGGGGTGGCCCAGTAGCTTGCGGGCTTATAGATGGTAAGTACTGCGGATTTGAACCAGATCCCAGTGCCTTCGCCCCCTTCCCGGACACTGCTGCCTCCCTGCGGTCCTAAGAATCAGAAGGGAGCCCGCTCCCTCGGGCTGGAGGAGCAGGTTGGGTCCAGGATGAGGCCAGAGGCAACCACTGAGGTCTGGGCGCCCAAGAGCCGCCCCCTCCCGTCCTGACGCTTGCTCTGCCCGGCCCAGAGCCTTGAGACCCCCATTAGGGAGGCCCACATAATTAAGCCTCAGCTCCGGGCTTTCGGGAAGGGAGGCCGGGCCCGGCGGGAGGCTCTGCCGCGGGCTGGAAGCGCGCGGCGAGGGGGCGTACCCTCGGCAGTCAGCTCCAGCATGGCGTAGGGGGCGCTGCGACACACGACCTCCTGCATGATGATGCCCAGGCTGAAGACGTCGCCCGCCAGCGTCCCCCTGCGCTCCAGGGCCGGGTCCCGAAGCAGCTCGGGGGCTGTCCACAGCTGGTCTGGGGTCGGGGAAGAGGGCGTCGGCATGCGGGAGGGCCTCGGGGGCGCTGGGGACAGACCCCCCCCTCCTAACCAATCAGCCCAGGCTCGCCCCCACTCACCAGCTCCCAGCCTGAGTGTGGCCCCGCTGCCTGGAGCTATCCCGGGAGAAACTACCAGAAACCCAACGCGGGGTCTCGGAGAAAGCGCGCTCCTCAAAAGTAGACCCCGCCCTCCGGGCAAAGCGGGGCTCAGACGAGACTCCGCCCCTCGGGCACAAGTCACGCCCCCCGCAAGCCCCCGCCTCTCCAGTCCCAGAGCCCACCCTTCTCATCTCGGACCCCCCCCATCCCCCGGAGACTTTTCCCGAGGCAGGGGCCACGCGCAGTGGATGTGGGACCGAGAGACTGCGAAGGCGGAGGGAGGGATGGAGGGGCCCCTGAGATGACGGGGATCCCGGGGGGGGGGATCCTCGTCCGCGCGGCAGGCAGCGGGGGGATCCTACCCTCCGCGCTCGGAGGCTCCGGCAACACCCGCTGCGCTTCCAGCAGCCGCCCCTGAGCGTGGTCGGTGACTTTAAGCACGAACCTCCCGTCCACCACGCAGTTCCGGGACTTAAGGCGCCCGTGGGCCACACCTCGGTGGTGCAAATACCTCATTCCCTGAAAGGGGGGGCGGGTAAGAGGCGACCTCAGCCCTGCGGCTCCTCTGCCCGCTCCTCCCGGCCGGCCACGCACCCCCTCGCATCCCCATACCTTGATGAGGTCCAGGAGGAGGGAGGACTTGAACATCCAGTCCAGCTTTATGTCTCTCTGGGCGAGGAGGTCGTGGAGGGAGCCCCGGGCACAGTGCTCGGAGACCACCGCCAGCATGCGCTCCCCGGGGGCCACGGGGCCAACCGAGCCGCCGCCGAGGAAGAGCCCCAGGTAGAGGACCACGTTCTCATGCCGTAGCTCCTGGAGCTGAGAGGGAGCACCGTGGGGAGGAGACCTGTTATCCGGGTCTGGTTTGGGGGTGTCCGAACTCGGAAGATGGGGTGAAAGTGGTGACCGGAAAGGTCTATGGGGACACGGGGCAGGGGGCTTTCTTCCAATAGAAGAAAATAGAAGATAACTGCGGCGCCTGGGTGGCTCAGTCCGTTAAGCGTCCGACTTTGGCTCAGGTCATGATCTCACAGTTTGTGGGTTCGAACCCCGCATTGGGCTCCGTGCTGACAGCTAGCTCAGAGCCTGGATCCTGCTTCAGATTCTGTCTCCCTCTCTCTCTGACCCTCCCCTGCTCACGCTCTCTCTCTCAGAAATAAACATTAAAAAATTTTTTTTTTAAATAAAAAAAATAATAGAAGATAACTTCTTTCTCCGGAACAGACATGTGAGTCAAAGGGTGTTGCTGAGGTGCTGAGTCCAGTTTAGTCTCAAGTTATACCGGAAAAGACAACCTTGCACCGGTAACCGGGAGCCAGGCGGGTTCTCCCTGAAGCCACACATGGCCGTGGGCCCAGGACTGCTTGGCTTGGTTACGCCTGAGACTCCCGACCTCCCCGAGGCAGGGAGGCAGGGGCTGAGCAGTGGTCCCAGCAGAGCCACGCCCATGCCGTAGGACAGGTGCCCTCACAATCCCAGCATGCTTGGGAAATTGGGGGGCTCCATCGGTTAAGGTTCAGGCTCTTGGTTCCGGCTCAGGTCATGATCTCATGGGTTCATGGGATCGAGCCCCACGTCGGGCTCTGCACTGACGGAGCCTGTTTGGAATTTTCTCCCTCTCTCTCTGCCACCCCCCACCCCCATGCTCTCTCTCTCTCTCTCTCAAAAATAAAGAAACATTTAAAAAATGAGAGAGCACAACGAGACACCTGCTTTGGGAGAAGGCACCTCCACCGAGACCTGCTGGGCTCTCCTAGAGTCGGGTCTACCTCTGTACCCAGCCGCAAAGAGGAGGCAAGGAGGGAAGGAAATGGTGGCCGCCCCACACCCCACATCCTGCCACGGACTCCGCGCTCACCTTGGAGAAGGCTGTACTAGTTGCTGGGCGGATGGCCATGTGCTGATCTCCTGGGAATTTCTTCAGCCAAACCCAGTCTCCCTGGAGCAGAGATGGGAGTAGTTTTTTGGTTTTGTTTTCAGAAAGACAGAGAGAGGGAGAGTACAAGCAGGGGAGAGGGGTGGAGGGAGGGAGAATCTTAAGCAGGTTCCACATTCAGCGAGGAGCCCGATCCCACCATGACCTGAGCTGAAATCAAGAGTTGGACACTCAACTGACTGAGCCGCCCATGCGCCCCAGAGATGGGAGTAGTGAACTCAGTTTCTTCAAACCCCGTGAGGTGAGGTGCTGCAGAGCCACCACATTTCCACTGGGCCCCTGCCTCAGGGCACATCCTCCCTGTGATGCCAGCTCAGAAGCAAGGGGTTTGACATCTGCCAGTCCCCTTCACAGCTGGGGGGGATGGGAGCCGCCCTTGGATGGCTGTCCTCACCACCGCAGACGCACTCAGCAGCGGCCTTAGTGAGCAAGCCCTCCCCACCACAAATGTCATTGAAATCACAGCCCCCCGTCACCATCTGTTGTCCTGAGAGAGCACTGTGCTAGGAGTCAGGTCTCTGGGGAGATCAGGCTTTTATGAGAGACTGTGACGTGCAAGCAGTTCCCCTCCAGGCTCTGAGCCTCACTGTCCTCAGCTGTGGGCAGGGCTGGTCCGTGGGAAGCCGGCCCGTGTGGTCCCACCAGGCCCCATGCCCTTCGGTTTCATTCTGCCTTAGACCCTGTGATTTCTGTAGCCGGCCTCGCCTGTGGGTAAGGGATTTGGTCGGACTCGTAGGGAATTCTGGGGCCTCCTAACGAGCCTTTGGAAGTAAATAGGAGACATTTTTTATCGTCTTCCAAAGTGGGAGATGTGTTTTGTGAGCGGGATAAGAGGCACTGAAGATTCTTCAAGGCACAGGGCAGGCCCATTCCAATGAGTAACAACTTGCTCCCAGTGACAATAGTGCTCCCCTGCGAAGTGGCTGCTGTGGCCTGTAGATGGCATAGTCCCGTCGTCGGCGAACTCCCAGTCCTGAGCAACCCATGTCCTGGAAGTGTCTGTCCTTTGTGTGGCCATGACGCCACATCCCAGGTGCCCCAACCCTTCCAGGGAGGCCCATTGCCCTTCAGTAGCTTGAAGTCTTGGATCAACTGAGGGGGCAGGACCAGGGGCCCCCTACGGGGAGGGGGATGGCTTTGTGGCCACATCGGGCTGCACGCTGGTGCCAGCATACCCCCCCCCTTCCCCCACCAGGCAGGCCTCCGGCTTCTGAGCTGCTGCAATTGGTCTTGGAGGAGCCCTCATCTGGATAAAGGCTAAGAGAAAAATCCTGGGGCAGGAAGGATTCTTGTACGCTCCCCTTTGGGGGATCCCATGACCTCTTCCTAGAGCCCGTTCTGGGCTCCTATCACCATTTTCTGGAGCCCGCGGGATATGACACACCTCCAGGATTGGAGCTCGGCCTGGCAGGGGTGAGGCTCACCTCATAGAGGCCAATGTTGGCGCTCTCCGAGGGCTGGCTGGGGAAGCTGCGGACGTCTGACCCGCTGTGTGCGCCCAGACTCGATCGACTCCCCTGGACCACCTGGAGAGTAGAGGTCAACGCAAGGGGTCAAAATATACTGTGGGTTGAGAGTCCTGGGTTGAGGTCGGGCTCAGTTCCGGGGAGGACAGAGGGGAGGGGAAGAAACCTTAATTAGGGAAGATGATACCGACATCGTCCTTCCCAATGGCGCTGCACTTCACAGTTTCCAAAACAAACCAGTGGGTTTGCTTGGAGCTTCGCGCTGCCGCAGGAAAGCAGCCGGGACAGGGGCTCGTCCTCGCATTGCACGTGAGGGTGCCGACCCCCAGGGCTCAGACCTGAGAGGGAGCCAGCGCCGAACCCAGGCCTTCCCAGGTCCGGGAGGAGGTGAGGGTCGGCCCAGGCAGGCGGACACACACACAGGTGAGGACACTTGGGGAACTGCCTCCCTGCCTCTCCCACCTTCCGAGAGCTGCCCCCTTGCGGATGGAGAAAGGTGATATCGTCCAGAGTCAGGATGATCTTGTTGGGACCAGAGACCATTTGGATGTGAATTAGCCGATGCCTAGTAGGGAAAGGATGTCGTCTGCTCAAAAGGGACCAAGTCCAGGATGGGAGGCCAGCAAGGGATACTGTTGGCTCAGGGGAGAGCAGTCATCCCCAAACCAGACATCCCCTGGTCGGCCAGCCCCTCAGGGCACTCCCCCCACCCCCCCATCTTCCTCCCACCCCCCACTCTTGAGTGGGCCCAGCCTGCTGTCTTTGCTACACAGACGCATTTCTGGCAGGTGGAGAGCCAAGTTCATCTCCTACTTACCCCGCCCCCATACTCACCTCACGTAATGGGCCAGGAAGGCCCCTGTCAGCCCCATCCCAGCCACCAGGAGGACGCCGATAAAGATGAGGCCGGGCTCCACTCCTGGAGAGGGAGTGAGAGGGGGGGACGCTGAAGACCGTGGCTACGGGGAGGCACCCTCTCTATTGAGGGATGCAGTCACGTTAAATCCTGGAGGCTCGGGGAAAGCTGGAGAGGAGCCCAGAACGGGATCTAGGGAAAGGTCACGGGTTGTGCGAAAGGGAGCGTCTGGGAACGCTAGGAAGGTTCCAAGGAGGCTTTGGGGGCTTGGCAAGAGACAGGTTCTGCACAAGCCAGGGGTCGGAGGAAGGACCTGGAAGGAAGGAGTTCCAGGACGAGAGATGACTCTTTCACCACTTAGTGGAGGCTCCACGGTGACCGTCCCTGGGGGGGGGGGGGGGGGCGGGGAGGTTGGGGTGCGTGCCCTCACCTCCGTTGCAGATGACGTCCGGCTCGAACCAGCACGAGGGGTCGGGCCCGGGTCCTCCTCCCCCTCTAGGGAAATGCACCGGGGTCCCAGCCGAGCGGAGGGAGCCCCGGGTTGGGTCCAGCACGTATGTGGCGAACAGCTGGTCCCCCGCCGCATCCGTGTCCAGCAGCACAAACGGGGGCTCCTCGGCCCCTCCCAGGGCGCCGCAGAAGCCGGGGACCTGGGCGTCCTGGATGTGGCGGGCCACCGCTGCTCCGGACACCCAGCCGCCCCCCGCGGCTGCCCGCGCTCGCGCCACACCCCCCGCCAGCAAGAAGATCGCGTCGTAGATGGTGCCGAAGAGTGGGGACACCTGGCGGGGGGCAGTAGGGGCTCAGGGTCTGGGTCACGGCTGGCCCACCTAGCCTTGCACTGCTTCTCCCAAGTGCTCAAGCCCCTCCTGCATAGGTGCCTAGAAGCATAGACCGTTCACACCTGGGTCACACCTCGTTAGTGCTTCCGGGGATCCCTCAGCTCAGCGCTCTCTCCTCCTCTCCTCCCATTGGCTCTGTTCTCCCTTCCCCTCTCCTCATTGGCTCTCCCTTCCTCTCTCCCCATTGGCTCTTTCTCTCTATCCTTTGGCTCTGTCGTCCTCTCTCCCCATTGGCTCTCTCCTCCTCTCTCCCCATTGGCTCACTCCTTTCCCCTCTCCCCATTGGCTCTCTCCTCCTCTCTCCCCATTGGCTCACTCCTTTCCCCTCTCCCCATTGGCTCTTTCCTCCTCACTCCCCATTGGCTCATTCCTTTCCCCTCTCTCCATTGGCTCTCTCTTCCTCTCGCCCCACCAGCTCTCTCCTCCTCTCTCCTCATGGGCTGTCTTTTCTCCCCTCGTCCCCACTGGCCTTCCCAAGGCCGGAAGAAAAGATTCCGGGTTTCTAAGCTCTTCTCACCGTTGGTTAATCGTACTCTCCATCACCTAAAGCTCCTCTCTTCCGTTCCTGTCGGTTGCCTTGCTTATATTTTTAATATGATTACCTCTCATTCACCTAAAAGCCTCCTTTCCTATCTTTTGCTTGGCTTCTATTTTCTATTTTTCCTTCTTTTCTTTCCCCAAGGCTATTACGCTTATTCTTCCCAGTTGCCATCTCGCAGTGCCAGCCACCGTGTAAAGCAATAGGTGATACTGAGATATGGACAAGATAAGAGCCCCTGTCCCGAGCAATCTTTCTTCTAGTTGGGGAGGTGGGGATGTTAAGGTAGTGCCATGAGTGAGGGTAGGGGTGATTGGGGGCTGCAGACACAGGAAGGAGGGTCCCAACCCAGGCTGAGGGAGGAGGAGGAGGCTTCCAGAAGAAGTGACCATCTTTCAACGGATGAGTCAGAACTGTCGGGGGGGGGGGGGGGGGGGGGGGGGGGGGGGGGGGGGGGGGGGGGGGGGGGGGGGGGGGGGGGGGGGGGGGGGGGGGGGGGAGAGGAGGGACAGGGAGGAGGGAACAGCACACCCAGCAGCACAGAGGCAAAAGAGAAGGGCACATTTAGGGAACCCAAAGTAGCTCTGTCTGGCTGAAGTTCAAGGACGTTGGAAGAGAGGAAGGCATGAGAGACATGACAGGCCATTTGAAGAGACCTTCATCTATCCAGGGTGAGGGAAGCCCCTGGGAGGCTCTGAACAAGAGTGTGACACAGTCAGATTTGTCAGGTTTGATGGTTGGGTAGAGAAAGACCCGGGCCAGGGAAGCATCGAAGCAGAGTCCACGTGGGAGGTTCTGTTTCAGGATTTAGATCAGAGGTACTGCGGCCTGAACCAGGGCAGTGACAGTGAGAATAGAGAACGAGATGGATTCAAGTGACTTTTAAAAAGTAAAACTGACAGGAAGTGATGTCTGGATGTGTGTGTGTGGACGGGGGAAGGTTAGAGGAATCAAAGGGTGGAAGGCTGTGCTAGTCACTGCGAACTGAAGACAGTTTTCTCCACCACTTCCTCCCCATGCTCGCCATCCCATCTCACCACTGTCCCTAACTGCCTTGTTCTTTTCTTCTCATTCACTATTCCCATCCTTTCTTCCACTGGCTATTCCAAATCCTCTTCGAGGACACTATGGACATTGGCGGGGAATACTTCAACCTTCACACCCTTGATTCACAGCCCTCTCTCAAGTGCAGCACTTAGAGCGGGGTTTTTGTGGTGGTTAGTTTATTGCACACTGACATCTAAATTCCCATCGATTTCACTCCCCCTTAAAGAAAATGTTTTTAATGTTTATTTATTGTTGAGAGAGAGTGGTGGAGGGGCAGGGAAGGAGACACAGAATCTGAAGCAGGCCCCAGGCTCCGATCTGTCAGCACAGAGCCCGATACGGGGCACGAACTCATAGACCAAAGACCATGACCTGAGCCAAAATTGGACAGTTAACGGACTGAGCCACTTAGGCGCCCCTAGCCCCCTCCCCTTTCTGAGAATGGTCTAGAGTTAGATGGTCTGATCTGGGATTCTGGATTCTCAGGGAATCCTGGCTATTCGCTTGTTGTTGGGAGTAAGCTGTGGATGTAAATGATTATGGAAGCCCCTGGCTCCACCCACGGACCTTTCTGCTTTTCATTCAAGATGTCAAGGCTCTCCAAAAGTTATGACCAGCAGATGAAGCCCCAGAGGGAGCACCTCTAAAGTGGGCATGGAGGTTGGATCTGCACCTTTCCTCCTTCCTTGTTCTCTTAAGAACGCCAGCAGTGTAGGCGCACCTGGGTGGCTGAGCCCGTTGAGTGTCCAACTTTGGCTCAGGTCATGATCTCACGGTTTGCGAGTTCGAGTCCTGTGTCGAGCTCTGTGCTGACAGCTCAGAGCCTGGAGCCTGCTTCATATTCTGTGTCTCCCTGTCTCTTGGCCCTTCCCCTGCTCACACTCTGTCTGTCTGTCTCTCTCTCTCAAACATAAATAAATAGTAAAAAAATAAAAAATAAAAAGAACACCAGCAGTGTATTATAGACTGCATGTCCCAGTGGTGTTGGAAGTGGGTTCACTTTGAAGCTGACCGCAAGACATCACAGCATAGAGTCCACTAGGCTTTCCTGCTTGGATCTGGGCCTGAGAGGTCTCCTGGCCTACATCTGGAAGCAATCCGAGTACAAGATGCCCCAAGCCAGCCAAGAGCCTCTCCGTTATGCAGGAAATGTCAGACAGGGTAGAGCTGGTAGTCACTCTCTCCCACTGCCTCCATCCTCCCATCTCCCATGGACTCCATGCTCCTCTGATTCCCCTGATTCTAGAAGCTTCTCTTCTCATTGCCTCCATGCCCCTCTCCCTTCTACGGCATCTCCTGCTCTCTCCCCGCCCTCCCCTCTCCCCTCCTCCTTCCTCCCTGGTCCCTCTACCTGCTGCAGATCGAGGTCAGAGGGCAGCTCCCGGTGCTCCTGGGCCCTGCGCAGGCTGTCCATCACGCTGCCTCCAGGGGGACAGTGACGTGTGAGGGTGAGCACGGCATCGTGGGCCCTGCGAAGCTGGGAGCTGTTGGCGAGGGCGGCCAAGGCCTCGGGGCCGGGCGACAGGGAGTAGTGGAGCGTGTCGAAGGGCAGGAAGACCAGGGAGCCGTCGGCCAGGCCCAGCTCTTCGGCGGCCTCCAGCAGGCAGCGCTGCTCCTGGCCGCCCAGCAGCACCGAGTGCATCACCATGATCACCGCTGGGGACCGAGACCCCGGGCTCACTGCTGCGCCCCGCTGCGCGCGCCGCCGCCGCCCCCTCCCCCTCCCGCCCCCTGCGCGGGGACCTTACCTCTGACTCTGGGCCCGTCCCGGACCCTCCTCAGGGCCTCCCGGGCCCCGGACGCGTCCGCGGGTTGCATGGTGGTCACCAGGGCGACGGGCAGGCCCCGTGCCCTGAGGGCAGCGGACAGTACGCGCCCCGCCTCCACCCACAGGTCCTGGGGCGCGGTGACCAGGGCCACGCGCGCCCATCGGAAGGCGCGGAGGAGCGCATAGAGCGCGTCGGCCGCGGGCGTCACCGCGGGGGCCGTGGTGCCCGCCGCCCGAGTCCCGGGGCAGCCCCAGGTTACGAGCGCGACGCCTGCCTCCTGGGCCAGGAGCTCCGCCGGCCGGCACGCTGCGGGGTTCACCGGGCCCACGAGGCCCGAGACGCGGCCCAGCGCGGAGGACACCGCCCCCAGGGAGCCCGGCGTCCGGCACGGCTCGGGCAGCAGCGTGACCTCGAAGCGGGGGCTGCCGGCCCCGACGGGGTCGTGGTTCAGGCGGGTGGCGGCCAGGCGGGCGGCCAGGTCGGGGCGGGCGCGGGCGAAGATGGGGTCGCAGGCCCAGGGCCCCAGCACCCCCACCGTGAAGACGGCGGGGCGGGCGGGGGACGGCAGCAGCAGCAGCAGCAGCAGCAGCAGGAGCAGGAGCGGAGGCCGCGGCAGGGCCGGGGGGCCGCCGGGCAGGGACGGAGCCCACCGCGCGGGGGCGCGGAGCCAGGGGTCTGGAAACCCACCCGCACGGAGGGCGCACGCCGTCATTGCCGGCTTCTGGGAGCATAAGCAGCGTGGGATGAGCGACGGGGTGGGGGGCCCACAACTCTCTTAGGGCTCTGTCCGCAGCGCCCGGTTTCTCAAAGCCCAACTAGCCCGGGGGCATGTCCCCACTTCCACAGCCCCTCCTCTGGCTGGGACGACTATCTGGGAGTCAAGGGCATGGCCGCACCCCCCACACCCCGCTCTCCTGCTTCCTGTTCCCCTCTTGCCTGCCCCTCCTCCCTCATCGGAGCCGTCGGGGTTCAGTGGATCCACGCCCACGCCCTCTGTAGATCCATCTGGGGCGGAAGGGACCCGAATCCGTGCGCAGGAGCCTTTGCCACTCACCGGAAAGTCCGGGGCTCGGGCCCAGGCCCGGGGTGAGGGGTCACAGGGCGGACCCCCCTTCTGGCACCCTCCCGCAGGTCTCCGTTGCTAGCCGGGCCGGGCGGGGGTGTGGGGACAGCTGTCCAAGGTCCTTAATCTCCCCAAGCTGATTAGGGTTCCTTAATCAGGCAGGGGGGAGTCGGTGGAGGAGGGGGCTCCAGGCAGCCAGCAAACTCTCTTCCATGCCTCTCAACACCCCCCCTCCCCCCCTTGCCCCTCCAACAAAAGCCGCTGCAGGTTCCCCTTTTCAAGCTATTGCCTCATTACCCTGCTTAGCCTGGAAAGCGACGGATGTGCCCCTGGACACCTATGGGTGATCAGTTTCCGGGTGGGACCTCTGGTCTCATTCCCTCCAGTCATGTTTCCGCTTTTGGCAGCCGAGGCCGAGCCCCATCCCTTGGCTGGCAAAGTCTGTACCCCAGAGCCCAGTCTGATACCTGTTTCTCTCATCTGCCCACCCTCGATTCTCCGAGTTCCACTTCTCCGCGCCTAGAAACCAGTCCCTTTGGTCTATGGGAAGGCGGAAGCCCCGGAAATAATGGAAAGCGCCGTGGTCTTGGGCAGACCTGGGTTCAAATTCCTCCTTCCTGGCTTGGTGAACTGGGGACAGGTGCTTAATCTCTCTGAAGGTTGTTGTGAAAATTACCTGTGATGAGGAATATAATGTCCGGATGACAAAGATAAATAAGCCAAATCCAGCCTCCAGACGTGACACACTGAGAAAGACACCATAGCACATCTTTGTAATACTGTGTACGCAGTAGCGCACATCACTGAGGCTGTGCAGCACTCCCGCCGGAAGTGCTTTCATCAAGCCTGATATAATCAGGAGCAAACATCAGCTAAACACAAAATGAAGAACATTTTACTAAAAATTGGGGGCAAGGGGGGCAGGGACAGGACGGTAGTCTTCAAAGACATCAGTATTCTAAAAGACAAATAAACAGCAAGGAACTGTTCTAGATTAAAGGGAGCAAAAAAGACATGACGATTAAATGCAATACCTACCCCTGGCTTGGACTCTGCACCGTAGGGTTTTTAAAACTGCTATAAGGTTATAGAATTTATAGGGTTAAATGGCTTATGGGGTTATAAAAATGCTATAGGAAATATCAACATCAAATATGTCGGCTGACAAAAATGGGATATGAATGGGGGATTTGATAAAGTTATTTTATCACTGTAAATTTATAAAGTTGATAACTGTACTATAGTTATGTAAGAGACTCCCTATTCATAGGAAATACACACTAAAGTATTTATCTGTAAAGCACCATAATGTACGTAACTTACCTTCAAAAGTTAAGAAAAAAATATGTATGTATTATACATCACATGTATTACATGTGCTATGTTGTTTATATTACATATATCAAATAATAAACGAATGGGTAAAATGTTAAAACGAGGTAAACTAGATAAGGGGTATAGGAGTGTTCTTTGTACCATTTTTTATTTTTGCAGCATTATGTAAGCTTAAAATTCTTTCCAAATACAATGTTAATAAAAAATGTGTGGATAGGGGCGCCTGGGTGGCTCAGTCGGTTAAGCATCTGACTTCAGCTCAGGTCATGATCTCACAGTTTGTGGGTTCGAGCCCCACATCAGGGTCTGTGCTGATGGCTCAGCCTGTTTCAGATTCTGTGTCTCCCTCTCTCTCTCTGCCCCTTCCCCACTCATTCTCTGTCTCTCAAAACTGAATAAATGCTAAAAAAATTTTTTAAAAATGTATGAATAAAAAGAGAATATGGATATCAATTCAGAGTAGGAAAGGCTTTCTCAAACAAGATCCATAAAATACAAACCATAAAGAAAAAGATTGATACATTTGAAAACATTAAATTTAAAATTTCTGAGGGTACCCGGCTGGCTCAGTCAGAGGAGCATGCAACTCTTGATCTCATGATCATAGTTCAAGCCCCACGTTGGGTGTAGTGATTACTAAAAAAACAAAAACAAAATAACAACAACAAAACTTTATACAAAATATTTTAAAATTTAAAATTTTCTGGTCAAAAAAGCATAAAACAAAGAGAAAACATAAGCCAAAGACAAGATGATAGTTGCAAAACAATGACAAAGGTTTAGTACCCAAATATATATGAAAGAGATAAACAACCCACTACAAAAATGGGCAAATGATATGAACAGGCAAGTCATGAGAAAAGCCTAAGGAAAAATGTTTAACCTCCCTAATAATCAAAGAAATACAAAATAAAACAGTGAAATACTCTTAACATCTATCAGATGGCAAACAATAAGGTGTGACAATAGCAAATGTTGGTGAAATAGAAGACACCATGCCTTCATGTTGGTGAGGAAGATGTAAATCAGTGGGCTGTTTGGCAATGTTTATTAGAGTCAATGCAACCCCACCTGTAAGAACTACCTTAGAAAAACATATTTGTGCATGAACAGACTTGAGCAAGGAGTCATTCATTCATTCATTCATTCAGAAAACATTCATGAATTTCCACCATGACAGGCACTGTTTTAGGCTCTGGGGATACAATGTGAATAAAGAGTTTTAAGACCTCATGGAGGTGAACACTTGATCACTATAGTTAGGGATCTTAAATAAATGTTACTTATTTTTTTAGGTTTATTTATTTATTTTGAGAGAAAGAAAGAGAGTGAGCAGCAGAAAGGCAGAGAGAGAGAGAGAGAGAGAGAGAGAGAGAGAGAGAGAATCCTAAGCAGGCTCCATGCTGTCCAAGCAGAGCCTGATTCTGGTGGGGCTCAAGCTCACAAACTGCGAGATCATGACCTGAGCTGAAATCAAGAGTCCGATGCTTAACTGATTGAGCCACTCAGGCACTCATTAAATAAGTTTTAAATAAAGCATTCTGAGGGGCACCTGGATGGCTCAGTTGGTTAAGCGTCCAACTTCAGCTCAGCTCATGACCTCCCAATTTGTGACTTTGAACCCTGCCAAGCCGTGTGCTGACAGCTCAGAGCTTGGAGCCTGCTTCAAATTCTGTGTGTGTGTCTCTCTCTCTGCCCCTCCCCTGCTCTCTCTCTGTCTCTCAAAAAATGAATAAACATAAATAAATAAATACATAAATAAATAAATAAAACCTTTTGATGTCTGACCTGTAGTAGATTCTCAAAATCTAGTAGGTGTCAATGTTCATTTATATAGTCCTGGGCATCTTAGTTGTTTTTTTTTTTTCTTTTTTTTTCCACCTTACTTTCCATAGGATTATTTCCCCCAGAGCGCTCCTCTACTGACATAACATCTCCACTCGGAATCACAGATTCTCCGCTCAACTCTTCCATTTCACAGATGATGAGACTGAGGCCTCGAGACTAATTTGGCTTTGTCCAGAATCTCCTGATTTTCTTCTGGGGTCCGTGAAGTGACAGGCAATAGACTTTGGAATGAAGAACAGATTTTTTTAAACTATTTTTTTATTGTGGTAAAATGTGCGTAGTATAAAATTTGCTTTTTTAGCTATTTTTGCATGTGCAATTCAACAGCATTAAATAGATTCACTGTCACCACTATCCACCCCTAGAACTTTCCATCGGGGCACCTGGGTGGCTCAGTTGGTTAAGCATCCGGCTTCGGCTCAGGTCATGATCTCACTGTTCATGGGTTCGAGCCCCGTGTCGGTTCTGTGCTGACAGCCAGCTCAGAGCCTGGAGCCTGTTTCGGATTCTATGTCTCCCTCTCTCTCTGACCCTCCCCTGCTTGCACTGTCTCTCTCTCTCTCGGAAATAAATTTAAAAAAACATTTAGAACTTTCCATCATCCCAAACCGAACCATACCCAGTGAACAATAACTCCCCATCTCCCCTCCTCCCAGCCTGGCAACCACCATTCAAAGTCTCTATGACATTGACCACTCTCGGCACCTCATAGAAGTGGGATCATACAGTATTTGTCCTTTGATGTCTTATTTATTTCACTCAGCACAATGTGCTCAAGGTCCATCCGAATTGGAGCAGGTGTCCGAATTGCCTACTTTTTAAAGGCTGAATCCTAACCCACGGGATGTATATTCCACGTTGTGCTTATTCATTCATCTGTCCGTGGACTCTTGTATTGCTTCCACTTTTTGCCGATTGTGAACGATGCTACCGTGAACATGGCTGTTCAAATACCCATTTAAGTTCCTGCTTTCAATTCTCGTGAGTACGGACCTAGAAGAGGAACGGCTGGATCATATGCTGATTCTCTGTCCAATGCTTTCAGGGACTGCCTTACTGGTATTCATAGCGGCCACACCATTCTATATTCTAGGGGCGGAAGTGTTTAAATCCATCCTGTTCCTCATGCCAAGGTGACACAGCCAGACTCCGGGCCCGGAGTCTGCCCCCCACCCCCCTGTCCGGTGACCCATTCCAGAACTTGTTTTTGTTTCTTGTGTCTTACCTGCTAAATTTGCATTCGATCTGAAGCTAAACAGCCCTCTTACGTAGAGGGTGGGGCCAGCTCTTAAAGCAGCAGATCCCGCTGGAGTTACCAGAGGGCAGAATTAAATTTAAATCCAAGTCCTATAAATAACCTTGGCTACAGGTGGAGCTCCTCCTTTGGAAGGTCCTGGTTTCTCTGCTTGTTTAGAGAAGGGCAAATGTCGTGCGGGAGTTTTAGTCTCTCAGCCACCCCCCATGAA